AGATTCGTTCTAATGGCCACAACTTGCTTACAAACTATTCGCATTTCCACTCCACCTCACTCCTCTTGTACGTGCGATCGTACAAAATTCGCCTGCTCCTCTCCTCCCCCCCCCCTCCCTCCCGACCCCACCCCCAACACCCCCTATTCCAACCACCTCGACGGTCTCAGCCCTCTGTTGCCAAGCCGGGCGTTCCGCTCGCTTAAGCGCAGGCCTCTCCGGGTAAAAACTCGCGCCGCTAAATAATCTCTCGGGCGAAAAGTTTGCTGCTTGCCAACCAAGTAGCTTTATTAATCGCGGCGAGTGCCTTACATCTCGTTCATTAGCTTAGCGAAACTTGGCTCTCTTGGGGGCACGCTCGGGGGCTCGCGAGGCGCTCATGTAAATCGATCGCCGGGTATGTCGTTGTCGTCGTCGTCGTCGGTGCTTGTTAATTTACGCCAGGATTTACGGGCCTGTGGAGTGGACGATTACGACACAAGACACGTGCAGCGTGGCCTCACGACACTCGACTATCGTACGAGAGTCTTGGCCAAGATCTCCCGATCACGTGCCCCGATAACGACGCGGCGAGCTCGCAAAATTATCCGAAGTAAGGTAAGATTAGACATTACGGGAGGTCGAAGCGCGAACAGCGCGCGACATAAGCGAGCTTCGGGGACTGGCGATTAGGGGATGGAAGGGGATGGGGACTGATGAGGGGGCACGGGGGCACCGCAACGGGGACGCTGATACCGCTATGGCCTCTCTCTCACGTGTTGTTGATGAGGCGGTTAGTATTCAGGTGGTTTCCGCGCGCCGCTTACCCCTACCCCCCTTACTTTTCCAAAATAAGCGGAAGCGGCAGCCGCGCTTGCCGCCCAAGGGCGTAGCAGCCACTTAATTGCTGGATATTAGATGTGAACGGCGCTTGAGCCAGTCACCGAATCTCGAGAAGAGCTTTTCGTCCGCGGGTGGCGATCCGCCGAACGACCTTGGATTTTGTCTCGCGGCAGGGCGGTGACTCAGATCGAGTGCGAATTAGTCGGGCGTGAACGTGAGCAATGGGCTGGGTTGGGGCTACTTCCGCCGGGTTTTCGGCAGACGATTTTGGATTTTGGTCGTAGTGGCGGGTGGTGCAGCGTGATCGGGGGGAGGTGGGGGATGTGCGAAAGGTCGATCGTCGCATTATGTCAGCAATGAAGGAGTCGGCTTGGCTTGTTTCCCTTGCTCCAACTAACCCAATAGCTCGTTAATGTTTACTTTGAAAATGCGACGTTTGTCATTACAAAGGGCAAATTAAATTACCTCAAATTAAATCAAACCCAATGGCACGTTATGCTCGGTGCAGTAGTGACGCTCTTAAAATACAACAAAGGAAGACCAATATTTGTAGACTTTAGATAATTAAGTGCTGACGGAATGCATCGATATATAATGATAAATACAATTTATTTTCCAAAGGCAGCAACTTATCATTGGATTATCGTTTTCTTTTCAAATAGATATTAGCATCACGCATGAAATCTGAAATTCGCGATAATTCATGGTTATATTTGTTTTTATAAAAAATCAATGATGCGAATCGGAACAGTCGGTAAAGTATCTACTTTTATATCGAATGCCAATTAAGCATTTTTTTCTTGCTTTTTTTTCTTTTTAAGGATTTCATAGGCTCTAATTCGTTATTATAGCTTTTTGTATCACAGTATCGTGAATTTCCTCATAATTTACCGATTTTATGTACAAGGGATATGAACTTTTTTTTACTTACAAGCACGAAACGACGTCCTTTCCTCCCTGAAACTTGGCCTCTTTTCCCCATCGTTTTGGTAACTGGACAACGGCGATCCCCAAATTGCCCCAAAGTGCCAATTGGGTAATCGTTTCATTGATTAATAAATTGGTAACCTCGAAGATGGGCGGGTCGGTTGGTTGTAGACTCTAAAATTTTAAATAAGATGCGAATGAGCATCGATCGATCAAAGCACGGGATTTTTAATAGGGAAGGAAAGAATTTTTGCGAGTTATGGCTAAAATTTTTAGGATATACATCTTACATTGTACATGAAATCGTAATTCTTGAAAGGAGCAAGGGATGTGGTGTGCTCGTAGCGTAATCCATTCGTTCCATTAAGTAAAAAAGCACGCCATTCGTTAGCCGTCATGTTTTCTTTTTCAGACTCGCGCGCAACGAAGATAAATCTCGGGAGCTTTCGTTCTTAGTCGAATTACAAATTCATTATTACCCGGTTCGGTAAGCCATGGCGCCTCGAGAGGATTTTTCGCCTGATCGCAACTCGATTCGCGCGCGCGCCTTTTTCCCTCGCAATCACCCATCTCCCGCGGTGTTTTCTTAATTCCTCTTAGTTTTTCGTCTCGCTCTTCATCTGCGCTCCTCACCATTTTCTTTCCATGTACCACGGCTTTGTTCTCCTCTCGAGGAAGACTACGAGGTAAGTGATTGTGCGCGTGAGAGAGAGAGAGAGAGAGAGAGAGAGAGAGTTGCAAGATGAGTGAGGAAGGGAAGGGAGACGAAGCTAAGAGCGCGTGCATCGTATATCGATTAAAAAACTTTTTAATGCGATCCCGCTCCCCCTGTTGGTTTTCTTGTTTTGATTTTTTATTGTCCCGTCGAAGCCTGGGTTTGTTTGCCGTGCAGGTGCAACCTCTTCCACAGCGGATATTTAATTTCGTGAAAATTCCTCTTTGGCTCTGCGTGTGACGATCGAGTTTCCACTTAGAGAGCCAACTTTCTGAACGATCGGATGAGAGTAAAGGAGCCTACGCACTACAATCGTCTCTCTTTCTCTCTCTCTCTGTTCCCCCATAATTTTCCATCTTTATTTCTCTCCTCACTTTTTTTATCTTCCATGACAAGTGTATATAGTTATAAATAAAAGTGAAAAAGTCACTGGAGAATTTTCTTAGAACTTCGCTTAAATACAATGTCTTGCCGTACAGATTTCACGTGAGTTCATGTGGTCTATGAAAAATCAGGATAAGCGATTAATCAGTTGTCACATCCTGAATTATCGTGAAGAATAATCGCAGGCGGATCAGCAAAGGCAAAAACAAAAGAAAAGAACGCACATTTGAATGTACAATAAAGTTATATCACTTTAAAAACTTCCGCCCTTCGTTCAAGAGAGTTAAGAATCACTCCCCCAAGTAACGAAACACGGCCTAAAGAAGCTTTCTCTTTCTTTCTTCGAATTGTCGCTGTAAGATGAAGTGAGCGAACCAAGAAGAGGCAGAGTGACATAGCAGAAAGGGGAAGGGGCACGGGACCCGAAGAAAATCTAAATCAGCGAGGTTGTGCGCGTCGTTTATTAGAGTCTCAGTCAGTGTCCCGCGACTTATTTCTCGCGCTCTCCCTCTCATTCACTCTGCCGTCCCTTTGGGATGCGTAGTCGTGACAAATACGGTGCGCTGTCCCAACTCGGTAGAGAGAGAGAGAGAGAGAGAGAGAGAGAGAGAGAGATAGAGAGAGAGAGAGAGAGAGAAGCGAAAGAGATAGGGGGGCTGGGAGGGGTCGGCGCTTCGTCGACGTCTTATTAATCCGGGTGGGTGGTCGCCTTTTCGAAGAAATTAAAAGTATGCTAAGGATAATGCGAATACATCCATTCGTCGAGGTGCTCGAAGGAGCTTTTCTCGGCCGAAGAAGCTCGGAGAAACAACTGTGAGGAAGGGGGCGTGAGAGAGAGAGAGAGAGAGAGAGAGAGAGAGAGAGAGAGAGAGAGCCCAAGACATTACCATTTTCGTTGTTATTCGCGAGGAGCGTGCGGCCTAAGTACCTAACAGATAGACATCTTGAGTCTTGTCAAGGCTCTTTAAAATCCAAAGTATATGTCCCGCCTCTTGACGTAGTCTTCATTTTTAATGTCGTAGACCCTCGCCACCCGCGTTGGTGAGTGCGACCTCTTTTCTCTATCTCTTTTTCGTCTATATTTCATAATTTTTTTTTCCTTCACTCGACTTTGTTGGCGCTTTAAAAAACATGGACAACTTAAGACCAGCGATACTTTGCTCGATTCGCGTTAGAATTTATATTAATAGAAATCTTTGAGATTGTGTACTACACGTAGTAAATTGAGTACAATAATTCTATTAATAATAATAATAATAATAATAATAATAATAATAATAATAATAATAATAATAATGCACTTATGCAAAGCAAATGGTATTGGCAAACGATAAACAGCAGTTATGTTTGCCGAGAACCATTAGTGTTATCTTTCCGATAGTTTTTCCCTTTCACTTCGATAACATTAAGAAAAGATGTTTTAAATTTAGGTCAAACTTCTATACCAAATCGTGATTCTAAATTTATTTAAAATATAAAACTTTAGAAATCCCGGATACATAATTCTATCACTAATATTTGAAACGATTATATTAATATAAAATTTCTTGCGTCATCAATACAAACGTAATAATAGTGAATTCAAGCGCATACTTTAATCCCTTAGCTCGCTAATAATTCTGATAACTAATTGCTTAGTCTCGTAATAATCATAAAAATTGTTTACCCTTTTTATTCTACTTAGTTTTAAGTACTCCGATTTATACACTTCTAATCAACTTAATTGTATTACAGCACTATTTAAATAAAATAAAAAGTTTCTTTAGTTGTCATGTTGATATTTTATTATTAAGTAGAGTTCATTTTTCCAAGTTGATTAATCCATTCCACTATTTATTCCGTTTAACATTTGAATCTTTTAGTTTCTTTAATTAAATTAAATTAAGCCATTTCGCTATGTTAATTTATCTTATTTGTTATCGTTTATTTTATGGATTATAAATATTCATGATTATTGTGATTGTAGCTGTAGAGTTTTCTTTTATTTTCTTGCGCTGTCATTACATTTGTGAGACGAGTAATGAACAATGAATTTGAAATTTTTTCCATAATTTTATTTCACTACATAATATGGACAATATAAGGCGATTATTTAATTTTCCTTAATTCATTCTTTTTCTTTTTTTCTTGTTTTATAAACTATATCGCTTTAACGAAGGATAACGCTTTTATTCAGCCCTCTTCGTTAATATTGTTTTATTTAAACATAGTATTGCATGAAAGTGATTTGGCAAATTAGCTGTGCATTGTTAATCCAATGTTGAAGATTCGCGTATCTTTTATAAAATTTAACAGGTAAGCATAGGCAAGAGCGTGCACGAACACGGACGTACACAGGCACGAGTAATATTGGGGATTCCATAAAATTCGCATATAATAAGCGGATATATGCTTGAAGCGGATATATGTTATATGCTTGAAATATGAGCCGAATATCAGACGAATGTGAAAAACACTTTTATTGCGGTATATGCATAGATTAAATGAAGGTATGCGTAAATAAACCTAATTAGGAGCGGCTTTGAAATCACGTGACAGCCGTTGTGTATCGTAGCTGTGTCGTCTCAACCTCAAAATTTCTATTGACGAGTAATGGCGATGGAGTAAGTAGTTCGACTTTGTTCTTCTGTTTTCGACGATTAGAGAATTTTTAAGTTTTTATAAACAAGAAATGAGCTCGAAAATTCAAAGTTGTTACTTATGCAGTAAGGATATACCTTTTTTGTCTGTTTATTTACCTGACAAGCAAGCAATATTCGTTGGTAGGAGCGCTGACACGAAAATTACTGATACGCAATGCTCGCGCAAGCAAGGTTAGTTTGTAACGTTTAGTACACATACTTACAAACTTTAGCGCTTAATTGATTTCTACGCGCATGAAATTGTTACAATAAATGAAAAACGACACTTTCGTTACTGTCAACATAACTTATAGGTAACAAAATTAAAGACAATATTCATGGCTTGGTTATAATTTTTATTATTTTCATAGTTCGTCTATATGCTAATTATGACGATCATAAAGTATTTATTGAACAAGTTGGGGTTCGGCCATGTGGCTTCAATGGTTTTAAGACGAAACGTGGTGTAAAGTTCATTGGTCAGGATGGAGACTGTTTGGAACTTCTTTATGGCAAACATGCATATAAAATAGGATTCACTCCTCCACCAATGAAGAATTTAGGTAATTTAGAGACACACAAACGATTACTTTTCGATGATACAGAAGATAATGAACCGTTAGCGATGAAAAAACTGAAACTCAAGGATAACAATGGTGATAAACCAGATATGAAAGACTATTCTAACGGTAAATGGGAACACTTTACCAATAATACTCTATTTGTGTACACGAGCGAGGGTTGCGAAGGGCGTTCCAAAGTAAGAAAGGATATTTATTTTATTTCTATCGTTTATGTCTTGATTATATTATTGAGCATTTTTAATTGTGTTTGGTAAAAAGATAGCAGCTTACGATATGGATAAAACTTTAATAAAAACAAAATCAGGATTAGAATTTCCAAGAGATACAAACGATTGGGAATTACTGAACTTGTTAGTGCCCGGCAATCTTAAGAAGTATTACGACGATGACTATAAAATTGTTGTTTTTTCAAATCAAGCTAGTTTAGGCACTGCAAAGACACCGCTCAAGGATTTTAAATTAAAAATAGAGGGACTCGTGAAAAGAATTGGTATTCCAATGCAAGTATGTACATTTGGAATACTTAGTATTCAATATGTAGAATAAAATTGCATTTGACCTATGAAATTGTAAATATTGTTTTAAGGTCTATCTTGCTGCGGGACAGAGTATTTATAGAAAACCACGTACTGGGATGTGGGACTTTTTACTTAGTCAGGTTTGTGGTGTGTGCGCAAAGTTTTTGACAAAATATGGGTATACAAACTTATCATTTGTTTTTAGATGAATGACAATGTAACCGTCGATAAAGAAAAATCATTTTTCGTGGGTGATGCTGCTGGCCGTCCCGGTGTACCCGGAAGAAAAAAGGATCATTCCTTGGCCGATAGACTATTTGCAATTAATTTAAATTTGACCTTTTTCACTCCCGAAGAACATTATTTCGGACATAAAAAGGTATCGTACAATGCTCCAAGCTTTCATCCAAAGGAAGCAATTAAAAATACTGTACTTTATGAGCCGCAACAAAGTAAACTTACTTTAGATAAACAAGAGGTAAATATCGTATAATACCAAAAATTATTTTAATACAAATTAACGGTATATAATGTATTGAGCATTCACTACTTACGTATAATTTGTTTCTATTAGTTAATTGTCATGGTGGGAAGTCCTGGCTCGGGTAAATCACATTTTGCAAAAATACATTTAAAATCTTATCATTACGTAAACAGAGATACACTTGGAAATTGGCAGAAATGCATAATGAAAACAAACGAAGCGTTAGCCCAAGGGAAAAGTGTTGTTGTCGATAATACAAATCCAGATAAGAATTCGAGACAACGATATCTTGACATAGCAAAGAAACATAATGTCTCATCTAGGTGCTTTGTCATGAACATAAATAAAGAACACATCAAGCATAATAATATAGTGAGTAATTCTGCTAAATAACTAATTAATGCTGATTACACGAATAAAAAAAAAAAAAAAAAACAAAAAAAAAATACAAATACGAATATACTTTTTACAGTTTCGAGTATTGACAGACTCAACCCATCAAGTAATCAGCGACATGATAATCAATAGTTATTTGTAAGTTATAATCATTTAACCTAGCTTGTGCATGAAAATATTTGATTTGTTTTGCTTGTTTTGGCCAGATAGAGTAGAGATTATTTTGTAGCTTAAAACTTTAAAGAATTTACATCCCTTGTCTATTTTCTATTTTGAACAATATTTTTTATTAGTATGTCAAAGTACTAGTTGATTCGTCGCTGCCTAAAACTTACCGAGTCTATCGCTTTTGTTCTTTCCTCGTTTCTACATTCGTTTCTTTGTCAAATTTCTTCAAAACTGTTACGACGTCTTACAGAAAGAATTTTATTCCACCAACCGAGGACGAGGGTTTTTCCGAGATCGTGAAGATTAACTTTGTACCGTCCTTCAAGTCCGAGGAAGATAAGAAGCTGTACGAGATGTATCTTCTAGGATAAGCTTCGCGCTATAGAGCTTCAACTGTACGAATGTAGAGTAACGGAGAAAGTGAAAAATTACATTCTCATATCCGATTTTTGGTCAGATTCGATTTTATTTGTTGATAATTTTTGGTCTCATATATTTATTTGATATTATTTGATGATTTTTATAAATTGTAAATGAAGAAGGTAATTTATTATTTTGTAAATTTATATTAGGAAAATTGAGACGGAAATAAATAATTAATTTATATTGAAGCACAGAATTGTTTTCTTTTTTGCGTTGATAATTTACGAAAGCTGAAAATTGTAGACTAGCTAGCGTCCTTTCATTATGTCATATATACATTGCAGTCGGAGACTCGTTGTCTTTCTAATGTAACAACAAGATGAACAACAAAAACACTAATAATGATAATTAATAATAAGCCATAATAATAATAATCGTAATAAGAAGGATAGGAATAAAGTTAAATTGCTTGGCAGAAAGATTGTACAAATTCCATTAGAATTTGATATCGTCGTTTCTTCTATAGCGTAAATGTTCTATAAAACAGTCATTTTGCCGGGATGAGTAATTAAAGGGAGGGAGAAAAATTGGCAATAATTACTCGGTTTGCAAGTCAATCCTAATAAATGTAGAGGTAAAAAAGATATTGGCGTGAATCCAGGGAGGTCCCATCCTTCATTTACCCATACATGGGGAGGGGGTGTGGGGTGTGGAGGGATCGGTGCGAGCAAGAAAGAAGTGCGTTGGAAGCAAAGTAGCAGATAAGCGGCATTTTTACGTGCTCGTTACTTAGTGAAGCGGGCGGGCGAACGAGCGAGCAAGTCATTCTGTAAAGGGATGGCGGCCGGGGATAGGGCCAAGGACGAGAAAAACAAGGGGAAAAGACGCTGTACCTTCGCGGTTATCCCGAATAAGCGCTCTGGTAATTATTTGGCTCGGCCCTCGCGGCGAGTTCCACCAGGAGTGGGGAAAAATTCGCAAGGGAGGCGAGCTTCGATTCGGAGCCGCGGGCTTATAATGGCTGATAAGGACGCGAAGCGCTGGAAAAATTAGAAAATGGAACGGCGAGCCTCGATGCTAATGCATTGGTTTTTGGGGGACGGCTTTTTTCGCGCATTTTTCTTCTACTTCATACCGAAACGAGCTTCGGATTTTCCGACCCACAGCCATTCTGCCTCTCTCGACACCGCAAGCGAGATATCGGAATGGTTTCGTTAGGGCAGACATTTGTGCCTCGAGGGCGGAATTCGAGGACAGGGGTGCTGGTAAATTTTTCATCGTCTATATATACGCCTTGTTGCTTCGAGCCGAGCTTAAAGCCTCAAAACAAGTTGGATAGTTTGCAATTTCCCGACGTACCCGCACCGTACGAAAAATTACTTTCCAAGTAACGATGGATCGATCGACCGAGACATTTCAATTAGAGGCTGATACGTTCGGCAATCTCGACTGCGAAATCTGATCTCCGTTATTTTTATCTCTCTCTCTCTCTCTCTCTCTCTCTCTCTCTCTCTCTCTCGCGAGGTTGGTTTATTAATTTATGTTATGAATGAAGAACATTATCATTCAATAATTACGGGATTATTTTTATCCAATCACGCGGACGCGCCATCTTTTGGCGAATCGTGCTTTACATGATTTCACTTCGATTGATATTTTGCTCGTTCGACTTGTACGAGGTCCTTTTCACATTTATTATAATGGAAAAGAGTATGCTTCGCAACGTAATATCGAGCCCCTGGACACATTTATTTAAAAGGATATTTGTATTATGAAAATTCGTAGATTATTTGAGAGAAGTGCGAGAGCGCAGTGGATGATAAAGAAAACAAGAAAAGAAAAAAAGCGGCCCCACTCATTATTACAGAAATAAAGAAATATGTAAATTCATTTTATTATATCTTTTACATGCTTTTAATTGTAACATATTTAACAGTTATGAATATTTTTCGACATAATTATTAAGGATAGTATAAAAGCCGAAGCGAGTTATGAATATTATTCCTTCGTACTTGTAAATTGCCTGCCCACAGAACGCTTTTTTTCTTCTCTTTTATTATATAATTATTCTCATACATTCTTTCCACTTTTATAATCGAGAGATCGAATGTTCTTCGCATACAATTGAATTCTCTCCTCGGCTTCTCGACGGTAAATCGCTTGAATAAACAGATTTGCTTCAAACTAGACCCAAGTACCAGGAATATACACTTAATACTCAAATTCTGTCGATAGTACATTAATAAATACAGAGAATGGGTATTTCCCATAAGTGCCTACTAATACGCATCCACGGAGTTTTTCAATGTTGCGAAGATCAAGCAGCTACGTACGAACGTTGCGTAATCGGTGGTACGTAGCCGGCGATACGGAGTAGCCATCGTTACGTTAAGATATCGAGTAGAGAGAGAGAGAGAGAGAGAGAGTTGTTGGTCTAATTGAAAAAATTTAGCGGCGCATATCGTTGAACAATGTAAATTGAATTGAAAGAGAAAGCGAGATGGAAGAGTCGGTAAAGCGGACTCGGCGATGCCACGCGCGACTATGGCTACGCGATTCGGAATTGCGAGCAAACGAAGAAATTCTAGAAAGAAATACGAGAAGAAATTTGAAAGGAAAAGGGGGTATGGGGGTATGGTGGGGGTGTGAGAAGGAGGAGAATTACGCGACTCTGTCGAGTCCATATAAATTCCGATCGCCACCGCAACTAGCTCTCGAGTAATAACGAGAAGGCCTGCGTTGGCAGCACGTGCGCGTCGCCAATCCACGTCGAACGTAAAAAGCGCAACGGAATAAACGGGGGCGAAGATGGGGATAGTTTTTGCCGGTTATTAGAGGCGCGGCGAATTCCGGGATCGGGGTCGGCGTGGCGGATCGAAGCAAACTCGAATTCTATGATAATCAAATGGCCGCGGCCGGTTTACGAGGTCCGGCGTGTGCGTTATTATTTTATTAAGCCGTATAATCTGCGGGCCCGTCGCGTTCCGGCGCACGGAACGTCGAGAGGAATATCTAAGAATTTAAATGCCCGGCCCCGCAGAGACTGTAAAATGGCGGACAATCGCAGGCGGTCGTAAAGCCCGCCGCTTTATTAAAATTCTATACGGTCGCGGTGGCGCTGACGGGCGCATTATCGCCCCGGCGACTCGTCCTCGCACGTACCTTAAACGGCCGTCCCTCCACGTCGCTTTTACGAACTCCTCGGCTTCTCTCCGCTAAATTAATATGCCTTGAATTAATACGGGCGGACGATCGCGGCTGGGCTTTTAGGGTCGAACATTCGGAAAATGCAGCCGTTCTTTCCGGGCATAACGACACGTTGCCGCACTTCCTCGCCTCCCGACATTTATTCAATGCCTCGCTTTATATTGGCCTCCGATCTTATGGAGGACCTTTGATAAACTCCCCCCTCCTTATCAGGATAAATCTGACCGATCATTGGCGATCTATGACGTTTCGGTGTCGTTTAAATGTAGTGCTCGAGGCGCGAATCCAATGTGCCTTAGCGAGGTCTGTTGATGTGTAAAACTTCAAAGTAATTTATGCCCTTCTTAAGTGGATATTTCGGCCGGCACTTTACGTTCATCGCCGTTGCTGAAAAGACAACGCCAACGACAATCCCTTTGTGTTTTAGACTTTCAAATGAGATTGCTAATGTTGGCTTGGACGCTCGCTGCAATTAAACGAAAAATTGCAGAAGTGACGCGTGTAAATAAGCGCTAAAGGGCGTAAAGGGAGGAGAGGTAGCGTCGGAGTAGTGGTCGAGCCTTGCAGTGTGGAGGATCGGTCGTCATTAGTGGCGAGTCAAAACTCAAAGAAGGACAAGAGTGGGAACATTGTAATTATCGTGAAAAGAACTTGCTGGAGGGTGGCATGGAGACGGGCCGGAATCATGCATTTAGCGCAGTGAAATAATGTTCCCATTGGCCATTTAGGTAGTGGGTAGTGGGAGTGGAAGCATTGTCGTGGTTATGATCGTCGTCATCGCTGTCGTCGTAGCCGTCGTCGCCGTCGTCGTCGTCGTCGTCGTCGTCGTCGTCGTCGTCGTCGTCGTCGTCGTCGTCGTCGTCGTCGTCGTCGTCGTCGTCGTCGTCGTCGTCGTCGTCGTCGTCGTCGTCGTTGTGCTACGTTCGTCCGAGATACATAGAATATGTTATTAAAGTACATTAGCTCGGCTCAAATCATACTAAACGACGTAACTTACTTTGCCGCGATATTTCACGGTCTCTTTATAAATCCCAGGGCGCGCTGGCCTAGCCGCCACCTACATCCGCATTCACCAGAAATAAAAGGCTTTTCGCCAGCTTTTCGTCGGCTTTTCGCTCGAGACGAAGGGAGACGAAGGGAGATGGGAACCCGAGAGTGACCTTTCACTTTTGAATTACTCAATTACTGCGCACTTTCGAACGGTGTGCCACACATATGCTTCGCTCCCTGAATCTCTTCTTCCCTATTCTCGTCTTTCACACGTCACCACCCTTCAATCGTTCTTTTTTTCCCTTTGCCGCTAAAAATTTTAGCCGTCCGTGACGATAATCGGCCCTCTTACGCGCTCCCTCTTATCGCAGAAACAAATGTCAAAATTCATTGTAATTTTCATTATTAAGCTTTGGAATTTTTTTATATAATAGTGCTAGGAAAAATAATCGCCTTGCTTTTTATAATGAATCTATTAATTCGAAAAGTTACTTCACGTAAAGGCACGAAGTTTCTTACGAATTGAAGTATTTATTATTTTAATATTTCAATTAGCAATATTTGAGAATGAGACTTTAATATAAACTATTTGAAAATAGAAGAGACAAAAAAAAATTTAAAAGACAATTTAACAACTACCGCCATTAAATTGGTGATTAATTTTAACTATGAATACGATACTCGACGATAAAATCAATTTTTCCTTAATCCTTTTGCGCAATTTTATTTCATGTAAATCAATATATCTGAAATAGCATTCAATTATACTCGAAGAGAAAATGTTAATCGATACAATTTGATTATCCGTTCTTTATTATATTTGCAATTAATTAGCGGTATTATTAAAAAATTGAGAGTACGGTTTACGAAA